CACACAGACTGGAATTTGACACACTGGGTTAGAGAAAGAAAGCAAGGGGGGAAAAAAAGAAAAAAAAAAAAAAAAAAAAAAAAAAAAAGAGCCAGGTCCATTTAAAGTTGCTGGCGGAGAGCTGTTCTCATTGGTTAGGGGGGGAGCTGGAGGAGCGGAGACACACACGGTGCGTGCAGCCCTCGCTGCCGCCGCCGCCGCCGCCGCTGCTGCCGCCGGAGCCGCCGCCGCTGCTGGAGTTGTCCCTGCCGCTTTCCCTGCTGCAGCGGCACAAACGTGACTTCCAACGTCCCGATTATTTATCTTCTCCTCCCGGCCCCTTTCCTCCTCCAAGATGTAACTACAGCTCTGACACTAAGGACCTGCAGATCGCTTAGGCGGCTTGAGAAAGAGAAAAGGGGATATCAAGGGCGTCGTTTTTTGTGTTTAGGGGGAAATTTTCCATTATAATGCTTCACTAAAGTGATTTTTTTTTTTTTTGTTTCCTTCGCATTCGTCTTTTTTTTTTTTTTTTTTTTCCGTCCCCCATTTCTCGGATTTATTGCTAGGAGAATCACATTGTGAGGAAAGAAAGTCGGATTACAAGATACCACTACAAACAACCCCCTCCCCCCTGGATTTTTTCGGTATTTTTTTTAATTTTTTTTTTTTAAATTGTCTCGGCTTTAATTCATGAAGCAATTGTCCCCTTTTGCAATCAGAATTTGGATACCAGAATGAGCAAAGAAAGACCCAAGAGGAATATAATTCAAAAGAAATACGTAAGTGGTCATAACATATATCGTTTTGACTCCCGGTTTTAGGAAATGGCAGTGAATGTCAAGTTTATAGCTAATCTTGCAGCTCTAAAGGTTTGGGAACAAATGTGATGCTGAATTTGATTTTTCTGTGGTGTGGTGGGGGAGTTTCAGAGGCCCTTTTTAACGGAAGCCTGCTATCCAGTTCGGTTATAAAACCAGATTTGTGTAGCGATTCCTCCAGTGAATAAATGTATTGACCTCAAATGACACAATCATAATCTAGTTTTAGATGAAACGCGAGGAGCTCGGGGGGCTGCCGCGATAATGTCACGGAACTGCATTTTCAAGCGATTTTCTTAATTCTGTGTTTTTGCATGCTGAAATAGGTTTGTTGTTGTTTTTTGGTTTTTTTTTTTTTGGTTGTTTGGTTTTTGTTGTGTATTTTTTTTTTTAAAATGATCTACGTGTGTCTATCCCCGTCTGGTGAAGCGGCGGCGGTGGTTGTTGGAAGCCCTTTAAGTTGAAACCGAGTGTCTGGTTATGGCGAGCTGGTTTCTCTCAGGACCACATCCCCTCTCCTGTGTGCGATCCTCGGCTGCTCTGCCTTGCCATAGACACCGGAGCAGCCGGGGATCGCCTTACGGGCAGCGCGTTCCTCGGGATTGACTGGAATAATGAGGAAAATGGCTCGGTAGTGTTTTAAAAATAATTCATTATGATGGCTCGAAAATTTGGGCTAATCCAGCGGAGCCTGGGCTGTATTTCTGCCTCGCTTTATTCAGCCGCTTAACCAATCCCTTGTAATTGTCTAATCCTTTAAACATATAAATGTGGATGGGTAGTTGGATTTTTGTTCGTGCTCCAGTTACGTTTTGATTGGCACAGGGCAGTTTTTCCTTACGTTTGGAAAAGCGGAGGGGATTATCCATATATGCAGTAGAGCGAATAATGATTTTTATCTCTATGTTAAAAAAAAAAATATTTGGGGGGGTGGGTGTGGGGGCAGATATACAGAAATCCTCGCTTTTGGGCGTGTTTGATGCGAGGCTTTAAAAGTTGTAGTTTATATCGCCTCTTGTCGTCTGCGCCGATTTCTTTCAGCGGAGGGGTGTCCCTTTGCAGGGAGGGTGACCTTCGGGACACTTTGCCTCGGTATTCTATAGATTCGGTAAAAACTGCAGTTGACTCCAGCTGACTGCCGCTATCGATTGCCCGCCCCGCTGCAAAGCTGCCCGGGGGAGGTGGTGGAACGATGTATGTGTGGTTTTGGGGACGGAGGGGGGGCCTGCGCGCTATTTCGGAGCTGTCCCCTTCCTCCTTTCCACCTCCCCACCCCCCCCGCACCCCCCGAAATTTCCGAATTAAAATACATCCGCATTGCAGAGGAGAGGGGAGCCCGGGGCCGGCGAGTTTAAAGTATGGCATCGAAACGGGAACGGCGGGTTGAAAGTCTGGCGAAACACGCGAGGCGTCCACGTTTCCCAGGCAGGCAGACAAAAGCGGGGCAGGGGGGGGAACGAAACTGCGGTGTTAATAATTACAGGGGAGGGGGGCGAGAGGAAAAGGGGGAGAGATCACCCCAAAGCTCGGCTCCCCCCGGGCTCGCCGGGCCGAACAATGCGGCGCCGCTCCCGCACCGCCGGGCAGGGGCCGAGAGCGCGGCTCCCGGGGGAGGAAGGCAGGAGGGGGACGAGGGCGGACAATGTGCAGGGGTGCTCCGCCGCTCACAACTTCGCGGCGGCGCTTTTATTTAACCCTTCTCCCCTCCCTCCTCTTCCCCCACCCCCCGCCACCCACTCCCCATTTTCGTTTTTTGCAGGGGGCGGCGGTGCCGGCGGGGCGCACTGGCGGCGGCAGCAACAGGTTGCCGGGGCTGTGACGAAGCCCGCGGGCCGCCGGCCACGCCGCCGCCCGGCCAGGTTTGCCCTGCTCCCCGTGACGTCACAAAGGGACGGGCCTGCGCGCCGCGGAACCTTCGGCGCCCCCCCAGCATTGCGCCCCCCCGCCCCTCCGTGACGTCAGAGCCGAGGCGGGGCGGGGGCGGGAGGAGCCCCCGGGGCAGCGCTCGGCGGCGCCGCGGGGGAGGGAGGCAGGGACGGAGGGAGGGGGGCGGCCCGGGCCAGGTGAGCAGGTGCGGGGCCGCCCTGCCGCTTTCGGGGTGGGAGGAGAGCGCCGGTCACGTCGCCCTGTGGCGACACGCGTGGTGGCACGTCTCCTGGCCGTGACCTTCGGGCGCTACGGCAGCCCGGCGGAGCGTGCCACCGCCTCCTCCTCCTCCCCGCCGGTGCCAGCACAAGCTTGGCCTGCACCTGGAACAATGGTACCCATGTCGGGCCCTACTGCCCACCATGGATCCCTGGTGCCCCCAGGCCGGAGGTGATGCTCCGCCGTGAGGAGCCAGGGCACAGCCGCTGCACGGGCACCAAGTGGTACTTTTTGGCCGCGCTCCCCTCACGTCACTGGGAGTTGGCACAGAATCATAGAATCACAAAACGGTTTGTGTGGGAAGGGGACCTTGAGGATTACCTAGTTCCAACCCCCTTGTCGTGGTCAGGGACACCCTCCGCTAGATCAGGTTGTTCAGAGTCCCATCCAACCTCGGTTTAAACTGGCCTTGTGTCAGGAGTGGAGTCTGTTCAGGCTGCTGCTGCTGTTTTTTCTTTTCAGCATGTGCGAAATGAGTTCTGAAAATAAGAAGGTGGTGAGAACAATGGAGTAAAGCCTCCGTGTTGCGGGCTGCCGGTGCAGGGCTTGGTTCCTTGCTCCGTAAGTGCTCACAAATGAAAGTTCTCTTGAACTTAGGGAGCGTTATCTTTTGCGATTGGTAACCCAGGAATGAGGAAATCCGTGTATGCATCTTTTTTTCCTGTGGTTTAAAAACGCTATCACCTCATTTTTAAAAGATCCAGGGCTGACTCATACAACTCTTTCTTCTCACTTTAGCCTCCTCCTTCTCAAACATCTTTACATATCAAATATTGCCTTTTGGCTCCAGCCTCAAAACTGACAGCTTTGTAAAGCATCCACCGAGAAACCAGACTGTGTTCAGTATGCGCTTGGAATTAATAGTTCTTGACTCAGAAGCTTTGATGTCTTGAACGTAATTTCACAGGTGCATTTTTCTGACCGTTTTTGTGATGCTTGAATAGCAAATCTTCTGTTCTTGCTGGCTTAGGTCTCAGAGTATCAGACCTGAATTACCGCCTTAAAATACCTGCATGGTTCTGCCACGGTAGCAGATGGTAAAGTATAATTAAAGAGTAATGTCACTACTGTCACCTCGTGTGATTTGTTTCATTATCCTTGCGAAAGTAAAAGTGCTGTAGTCTGCCATGAGGTGATATGCTTCACCTACGGATGGCCTGGTAAGCCCCTCAGACGGAGGGCCAGCAAGGCCTGGCCCGGATTAGCATGCATCTGAGAGCTGTGCCTGCTGCAGCCTTTGAGACAATACTCTTTTATTTGGGTGTGCTTGGTGTGGGCCCAGGGAGTTTCAGGAGGGATGGTAACTGCACTGCCTTCTGCATCAGGGGTATTTGTGCAGGAGCCTGACCCTGGGCACCCCAGGGTTTCAGCTTGGAGCCGCCTGCCCTGCTGCTTTTCCTGTGAGTGGCTGCCATTTCTCCCCCATCCCCACAACTGATGACAGGCTCTTAAGTTTGACCACTTCCTGCAAGAAATAGTGTAATAGGCTGCTGGCAGCAGAGATAGTATTCAGTGTAAGTTGCATCTTATTTCACATCACCTTTTGGAGTTTTTTTCTGTTGGGTCTCTTTCACACTTGCAGTAATAATTCTAGCAGCATAGCTGCTCAAATCTTTATTTTCCCCATATGAAAAACTTACGGATGCTAGCTGCACTCGAGCTACTTTTGGGTTCCTCTTAACCTCCTTCTGGTCTCTTGAGACTACAACATTATGTTGTAAGTGGCTATACGATAAGTAAAAACTAGTAATTAAAATACTTTTTTTCTTTAAGTGAATATTTTGCTATCAACAGATGCTCTGCCCTGAGATACTAATGGACTCCTGCTCACTCTGATGGTCTGCAAGCCAGGAGCAGTAAGATGCTGCCCAGAGTGAATTAGAGTGAATCAAGGCCCCTGTGAAGAGTTTCTAATGTTCATTAAGCACTTTAACCTTCTCTTTTGAGGCCTACTAAGCCAGCATTAAAAACATATTACCCCTTCCTTTTCTGTAGTAATAACTAATGTTATGCATATGCTAAAGTGTGGTATAAACGTCAGCTGATTCTGTAAGGCAGCAGCATTCCCTCCATTTTATTGTTTGATGAAAAAGAAAGAAGTCTAAATTACTTGCCTGAAGCTACATGCTGTAACAGCGGCAGAGTTGGAACTAATCTGTATTTCTGCTGCCTTCTCCAATATTCTATCCTGTAGCTTACAGGCTGTTTCTACAAGGCATGGATGGCATTTGCATTACAAGGAACTACTTTACATAGTTCCAACTTTCTCTAAAATTTTTCCCCTCCCTAGTTATGGTTTGGACTGTTAAATTAATGTTATATTTTTTAACATAATAAAATAAGTATTTCAGTATGGATACTTCTATTTATTTTTTTTTTTGAGAGATGATCATACCCTGTAGCTGATAGAGACCAGTTGATATTGTGATGACTCAGCTGTGGGAGTATTACATAAAGTAGGTCAATTTTTAAATCTTATAGTCTGAAGCTAAAGAGAATCCACGTTAAAATTTATGTTTTGTTTATACACATTACTGTTATTTCCTGGTTTGAACGTAAGTGAAAGCTCTTGAGGAGGCGGGAAATGTTTTTGGGGCTTGATTTGGGGTTTGTTTTTGCCCATTTTTATTGTATTGTGACTGAATTCAATCAACTTGACGGAGGTGAAAGACCAGCTGCTTTCATTTCTAAAGTTTCCAGTTTGCAGCAGTCAACTGAAAGGAAGGCTTTAAAGGCAATTTTAAAGTAGGGAAAGGAAAAGCAGAGACACGTTTATTATTTTTTATTACAAGCACCCAGCTTTTGTGTGATCTAGC